ATAGATACTTTTGTATGTGTTTCCTCCAGCATCTTCACAAGGTCCTTTGCTGTTGTTCTGGGATTGATTTGCACTGTTCGCACCAAAGTACGTTAATCTCTAGGAGACAGAATGCGTCTCCTTCCTGAGCGGTATGACGGCTGCGTGGTCCCATGGTGTTTATACTTGCGTACTATTGTTTGTACAGATGAACGTGGTACCTTCAGGCGTTTGGAAATTGCTCCCAAGGATGAACCAGACTTCTGGAGGTCTACAATTATTTTCGGAGGTCTTGGCTGATTTAGTTTGATTTTCCCATGATGTCAATCAAAGAGGCACTGAGTTTGAAGGTAGGCCTTGAAATACATCCACGAGTACACCTCCAATTGACTCAAATTATGTCAATTAGCCTATCAGAAGCTTCTAAAGCCATGACATCATTTTCTGGAATTTTCCAAGCTGTTTTAATGGCATAGTCAACTTACTGTATGTAAACCTCTGACCCACTGGAATTGTGATACAGTGAATTATAAGTGAAACAATCTGTCTGTAAACAATTGTTGGAAAAATTACTTGTGTCATGCACAAAATAGATGTCCTAACCAACTTGCCAAAACTATAGTTTGTTAACAAGAAATGTGTAGAGTGGTTGAAAACGAGTTTTAATGACTCCAACCTAAGTGAATGTAAACTTCCGACTTCAACTGTATATATATATACAGTGGGGAGAACAAGTATTTGATACACTGCCGATTTTGCAGGTTTTCCTACTTACAAAGCATGTAGAGGTCTGTAATTGTTATCATAGGTACACTTCAACTGTGAGAGACGGAATCTAAAACAAAAATCCAGAAAATCACATTGTATGATTTTTAAGTAATTAATTTGCATTTTATTGCATGACATAAGTATTTGATACATCAGAAAAGCAGAACTTAATATTTGGTACAGAAACCTTTGTTTGCAATTTTCAGAGATCATACGTTTCCTGTAGGTCTTGACCAGGTTTGCACACACTGCAGCAGGGATTTTGGCCCACTCCTCCCCAGATCCTTCAGGTTTCGGGGCTGTCGCTGGGCAATACGGACTTTCAGCTCCCTTCAAAGATTTTCTATTGGGTTCAGGTCTGGAGACTGGCTAGGCCACTCCAGGACCTTGAGATGCTTCTTACGGAGCCACTCCTTACTTGCCCTGGCTGTGTGTTTCGGGTCGTTGTCATGCTGGAAGACTCAGCCACGACCCATCTTCAATGCTCTTACTGAGGGAAGGAGGTTGTTGGCCAAGATCTCGCGATACATGGCCCCATCCATCCTCCCCTCAATACGGTGCAGTCGCCCTGTCCCCTTTGCAGAAAAGCATCCCCAAAGAATGATGTTTCCACCTCCATGCTTCACGGTTGGGATGGTGTTCTTGGGGTTGTACTCATCCTTCTTCTTCCTCCAAACACAGCGAGTGGAGTTTAGACCAAAAAGCTCTATTTTTGTCTCATCAGACCACATGACCTTCTCCCATTCCTCCTCTGGATCATCCAGATGGTCATTGGCAAACTTCAGACGGGCCTGGACATGCGCTGGCTTGAGCAGGGGGACCTTGCGTGCGCTGCAGGATTTTAATCCATGACGGTGTAGTGTGTTACTAATGGTTTTCTTTGAGACTGTGGTCCCAGCTCTCTTCAGGTCATTGACCAGGTCCTGCCGTGTAGTTCTGGGCTGATCCCTCACCTTCCTCATGATCATTGATGCCCCACGAGGTGAGATCTTGCATGGAGCCCCAGACCGAGGGTGATTGACCGTCATCTTGAACTTCTTCAATTTTCTAATAATTGCGCCAACAGTTGTTGCCTTCTCACCAAGCTGCTTGCCTATTGTCCTGTAGCCCATCCCAGCCTTGTGCAGGTCTACAATTTTATCCCTGATGTCCTTACACAGCTCTCTGGTCTTGGCCATTGTGGAGAGGTTGGAGTCTGTTTGATTGAGTGTGTGGACAGGTGTCTTTTATACAGGTAACGAGTTCAAACAGGTGTAGTTAATACAGGTAATGAGTGGAGAACAGGAGGGCTTCTTAAAGAAAAACTAACAGGTCTGTGAGAGCCGGAATTCTTACTAGTTAGTAGGTGATCAAATACTTATGTCATGCAATAAAATGCAAATTAATTACTTAAAAATCATACAATGTGATTTTCTGGATTTTTGTTTTAGATTCCATCTCTCACAGTTGAAGTGTACCTATGATAACAATTACAGACCTCTACATGCTTTGTAAGTAGGAAAACCTGCAAAATCGGCAGTGTATCAAATACTTGTTCTCCCCACTGTATATATGAGTCTGTAATACCAACATGTTTCAAGCAGACCACCATAGTCCCCGTGCCCAAGGACACTAAGATAACCTGCCTAAATGACTATCGACCCGTAGCACTGACGTCTGTAGCCATGAAGTGCTTTGAAAGGCTGGTCATGGCTCACATCAACAACATTATCCCAGAAACCCTAGAACCACTCCAATTTGCATACCGCCCCAACAGATCCACAGATGATGCAATCTCTATTGCACTCCACACTGCCCTTTCCCACCTGGACAAGAGGAACACCTACGTGATAATGCTATTAATTGACTACAGCTCAGCATTCAACACCATAGTGCCCTCAAAGCTCATCACTAAGCTAAGGATCCTGGGACTAAACACCTCCCTCTGCAACTGGATCCTGGACTTCCTGACGGGCCGCCCCCAGGTGGTAAGGGTAGGTAACAATACATCTGCCACACTGATCCTCAACACGGGGGCCCCTCAGGGGTGCGTGCTCAGTCCCCTCCTGTACTCCCTGTTCACCCATGACTGCATGGCCAGGCACGACTCCAACACCATCATTAAGTTTGCCAACGACACAACAGTTTTAGGCCTGATCACCGACAGTGATGAGGCAGCCTATAGGGAGGAGGTCAGAGACCTGGCTGTGTGGTGCCAGGATAACAACCTCTCCCTCAACGTGACCAAGACAAAGGAGATGATTGTGGACTACAGGAAAAAAAAGAGGACTGAGCACGCCCCCATTCTCATCGACGGGGCTGTAGTGGAACAGGTTGAGAGCTTCAAGTTCCTTGGTGTCCACATCACCAACGAACTATCATGGTCCAAACACACCAAGACAGTCGTGAAGAGGGCACGACAAAGCCTATTCCTCCTCAGGAGACTGAAAATATTTGGCATGGGTCCTCAGATCCTCAAAAAATTCTACAGCTGCACCATCGAGAGCATCCTGACTGGTTGCATCACCGCCTGGTATGGCAACTGCTCGGCCTCCGACCGCAAGGCACTACAGAGGGTAATTCGTACGGCCCAGTACATCACTGGGGCCAAGCTTCCTGCCATCCAGGACCTCTATACCAGGCGGTGTCAGAGGAAGGCCCTCAAAATTTTCAAAGACTCCAGCCACCCTAGTCATAGACTGTTCTCTCTGCTACCGCATGGCAAGCAGTACTGGACTGCCAAGTCTAGGTCCAAAAGACTTCTCAACAGCTTCTACCCCCAAGCTTCTACCCCCAAGCCTGAACAGCTAATCATGGCTACCCAGACTATTTGCACTGCCCCCCCACCAACAACCCCCCCCCCCCCCCCCCCCATATTTTTACGCTGCTGCTACTCTGTTAATTATTTATGCATATTCACTTTAACTCTACCCACATGTCCATATTACTTCAACTACCTCAACTAGCCGGTGCCCCCGCACATTGACTCTGCACCGGTACCCCCCTGTATATATAGCCTCCCTACTGTTATTTTATTTTACTTCTGCTCTTTTTTTCTCAACACTTATTTGTTGTTGTTTTATTTTACTTTTTTATTTAAAAATAAATGCACTGTTGGTTAAGGGCTGTAAGTAAGCATTTCACAGTAATGTCTGCACCTGTTGTATTCGGCGCATGTGGCCAATAAAATTTGATTTGATTTGATTTTATATATATATATATATATAATACTTTTAGTGTAGGAGCTGTTAGAAAATGTCAGCCTGTTTTGGTGGGATGGAGCTTCGCCCTGCCTGGTGACATCACCAGGCGGTAAAGTAGTTAATAGACCAATAAAACTTGAGTTCAAACCTTTGCCAATAACAGCTAGTTTTCAGTTTTCCCCTTCCCGACTCCCAGACAGTCCTAAGAAGCAATTTTTGTTTATTTTGACTGTTTTAAATTAAAACAATCACAGTAAGGTACTTAATTGTTACTCAGAAATGATTTGATATTGAGGTAAAAAAACGGCTGCATTGGATAATTTAAAAAAAACGTGGTGCACATTAATGTTATAAAGTATCGTTATATTTATCAATATTGCATAATTTCAGGCAATTCAGGCAAGGATTTTTGTCCATATCATCCAGCTCTAGTACAAATATGCGTGTCTGTGCACAGAGACAGACGCAGGGACACTGAGGGGCAGAGTAAAGCTGGCCGTTGAACACACAATGGCCTGTTGTCACCCTGGCCTGAGGAGAGTCTCTGATCTCTGGGTCTCCCTGGCCTTGGGTCTGTCTGTCTGTCTGTCTGGCTTGGCCCTGCCCTAGGTTACCACTGTGTTACCACTGGGCCGTAGCTTTAGAGAGCCTCGTCAATTCACTGCCTCTTCTGCTGAATTAGCTTTTAAAGGGCCGGCATTTCTCTCTGAGCAAACAAGACCAGCATGCACCTGCAAGTGGTGTGGAGGGGGGTGTATGGGGGGGCTGCTGCCCAGTCCCTCTCTCCATCCCCAACTGTTACTGGGGCTCCAGCAAGACTGCAACTGTAGACAATGCAGGTTCCCCCCAACACTCTCTCTCTCTGTCACTGACCCCCCTTTCCCCCCTTAAAAAACGAACGGTCCCTGGATCAAAATTAGGCCTTTGTGTGGCGCTTAGTCCTCTCAATCCCACTGCCGCCGCGCCTCGGGAACCTTGTCCTGTGGGATTATTTATAAAAGCACACAGAATTCCCCTCTGAATGGAAGTCTGTTGGTGCACAAGACAAGAGGGAACATTGGGAGGGATGGAGGGCGTTGGGAGGGTGGTGGTGGCCCCTCCTCTGAAGAGGTTTATGTAAACAGAGAGCATGGGGCAAAAAGGAAAGCAAACAAGTTCACACTTCAAGTGGATGGACGGATTCATCCTTCTGTTATTCACTCTCACTCTGAATCACTACACCTCTTTTTCTTGAGGACTCTCCCTATTGATCTCCCTGCATTCTATTTGATCACTGTAGTCGGGACAATGAGAAACTGAAGATGTGTTTTTTAAGACTTTTCTATAAACCAGTCGAGTCAGTTAAGATCAAATTATTAATTACAACGACGGACTTGATTAACAGAATCTAGTTTAAAAAACGTCAGTAACTGTTACCTGTGATAATGATACTGTACTAACAGCATGAGAGCCCTAACTGTGCATCTGTTGGAGCAGCGAGCCACTCAGATGAGGGGTCAGACGTGGAGTCGGAACCAGACCTGCCTCTGAAGAGGAAGCAGCGCCGCAGTAGAACCACCTTCACGGCCGAACAGCTGGATGAGCTGGAGAGAGCCTTCGAACGAACACACTACCCTGACATCTACACCAGGGAAGAGCTGGCTCAGAGGGCCAAACTTACAGAGGCCAGAGTACAGGTAGACTACACACACATCAAACACACACATTCTTTATCACACATCACACACAGGGATGCACACACACACACACACACACACACACTCACACATGCACACACACGCACACATTCCTGGCCTGCCCCTTCATCCTGTGTTCCCAGGGGTCCAATCTGCAGGGCCAACTCTGATCTACGGCCCAGAAAATTCCCCACAACAGCTCCCATATGGAGGCTGTACCGGGCCCAGCATGGGGCTATTACATATGGAATCAGCATGAGTCCCGCCAGTCACACACACTGACTCTCAGCAGCAGCAGCCATACCCCCCCCCCCCATACTGGTCAGAGGGGGGCCTGTTCAGTTAAATGTTAATTTATTGATATGGATGGGTTCATTTAACCGCTCTGTCCCTGTGAATGGATCAGCCAGGTCACCCGTAATACAAGTCAGTATTTGACGTCCATCCATGTCTGAAGATGCTGGGAGATGACGTGGAAACCGGCCACTAGGGGCAACAGTGAGCGCTGTTACGTTCAAGTAGGTTTCGGTTTTGCTAGGGTGTTGTGGACGGGGAGGCGGATGGGTGTAAGCATCTGCCTCTGATTCCAAATGTTGCAAGTTTGAATCCAGCGATAGAAAGTTGCTTTTGCATCTGCCTCTGATTCCAAATGTTGCTAGTTTGAATCCAGCGATAGAAAGTTGCTTTTGAGATTTTTGTTTTAAGCCTATCCCAAACCTTAACCACTACCTTAACTATTTGGAGTTAATGACTAACCTTAAGATTTCGGAGATAATGCCTAAACTTAACCCTAACCTTAGAAATTAGGAGTTAATGCCTAAACGTAACCTTAAACACTTTGAAATTTGACGTTTCAGAAACTTAGATTAAAGTCTAATTCTGACGTGAGACTGTGAGAGCTAGTTGGAATGGATATGAGTTTTGAGGAAAGCACAGTCCTCAAATACGATTTTCTTATTCTCATTAACTACAGAATTTGAAGCTTTGGGTGACTCTATGGCTATGGAACAGGACTGAAATAAAACCATCAGTGCTAATTTTTAGTTAGATTAATTTATAGGGGGGAAAACCGTGTAAAATATTGTTGTGTTGCTATGGCCAAGTCCATGTTTAAATGATGTTCCTGTGGTGAGGCATGAGATGTGGAGATAGAGAGGGTCTTGTTGGCTGCAGCCAGGAGTCACATGGGCTGGTCTGGAGAGGAACACATGACCCCCCCCCCCCCCCCGCACACACACACACACTCAGACAATAACACACAGGGTTTACACACACACACACACACACACACATAATACATAGAAAGCAGATACTAAAAAAACGCAAAGTCAGACAAAAACATACATTGACTAATAGAGAGATATATACACATATGCACAAATAACAGTCATTAACATTAATTTATATGAGAATGAATGTTTAAGACAATGTAAGATCTCATGTCATGTATTCCTCTTTCCCCAGGTGTGGTTCAGTAACAGAAGAGCCCGGTGGAGGAAGCAGGCTGGAGCTAGTCAGCTCATGGCCTTCAATCACCTGATCCCTGGGGGGTTCCCGCCCTCTGCCATGTCCAGTCTCTCGCCTTATCAGCTGTCTGACAGCCCGTATCCGCCTACATCCATATCACAAGGTGGGACACGCTATAAACAAGGCCACAGGCTAAATAACTCCCTGTGTGTTTCAGATATACAGCTATTGCTCTCAGAGTTCAGACCCTTGAGCTTGATTGGCAAAGTCATGTATTGTTAAATATTGACTACAATGTAATAATCTGTCAATTGAGAGACAATATATGTAAATAAGAAGTTCTTCCTTTCTATTTGTCCTTCACTTAGCGGTGTCGGAGCAGGCCAGCACGCTGCACCGGCCCCAGCCCCTGCCCCCGTCCTCAGGCCACCACCAGAGCTCAGGAGGGGGAGGACAGGATGGGGGGTCTGCCTACTGCCTGGCCTCTGGACGCCACGGCTTCTCAGGCTACTCCGACAGCTTTGTCACGTCAGGAGGCCCTCCCAACCCCATGAACCCTGCCATCGGCAACGGCCTCTCTTCCCAGGTGAGTCAAACGGAGCTACGGATCTACACACACAGAAACACAGTTCATATTCTTATCTATGTCGGGAGGTGGAGGTGGAGGTGGGTGTGAGGTGGAGTGCAAGGACTTGAAAAGGACAGAGGACAGACACGGAGGAGGACAAATGAATGAGGAAAAGATGAGACAATTATGGCCAATTATACAGGCCTGAGGCTTATCGTTCCTTTACCTAAACATTAAGGGCTGTCCTAACAGGCAGAAAATGAGATTTCAGACGCCTCAGACAATAATACACACACACACACACACACACACACACACACACACACACACACACACACACACACACACACACACACACACACACACACACACACACACACACACACACACACACACAGAGTGCTTCAGAGTCACTTTAGAGAGTGTGACAATATGGACATGAAGGATGACTGACTGAAGAGGCTGACATGGTTAGGCAAAAATGACATTTACACAGGTCACATGGTGGGAAAGGATTTATTTTTTAAATGTTTGATATTATTGATGAACGTTTAAAATACTTATTGGTAATTTGTGAGACATTTATTTTGTTCCGTTTAATCTACCGAACTGTGTTCAACTGATCTAAATGACAATGAATAGGCTAAGTCATAAGGAGGGGAGATATCGTCTATCAAAGAAAATGTATTGTATTCTCGTCATTTCTTACCAGTCATTGTGGAGGCACTAACTTCACCTCAGTCGGGACTGCTTATTGTCTTGAAAAACTTTTCCAAATACTAAATATTTTCAGACAATATTCAATATTTTTCTGATGTGGTAGGGCAAATATAGTTTTGCTTCCAGTCTCTTCATCATCGCCTCTAGATCTTCCGGCGCTTCAGTCCATCAACACGCGCATAACATCCTTGCGCTTTTGCACGGTAATAAATCAAGGTTCCAGTGTCCAAATTGATTGCTACCGAATATGAATTGAATTATGTGTGTAATTTATGTAGATTACTTCCTATGTTTTGTTACATATATAATTGGTGCAGGCTATCTACATTTTTTTGGTACGTGTGTGGAATGTAGGAATGTATAGTTATAATTAGTTTAAATTATGAATTAACTTAAATTGGATGGTTCTTTCATTTATAAAATGGTTATGAAGACTGTATATTGAAGATCAACTAGGCCTACTCTATTTAGAAACTAGAAATAAGACGGATTGATCATTATTATTTGCATGCAAGATGTGGAGAACTTTTGCTGCATGTTGGCACAACACACAATTCTACAAATCGAACACCCCTTATCTCTCCTCTCTCTCTCTCTCTCTCTCTCTCTCTCTCTCTCTCTCTCTCCTCTCTCTCTCTCTCTCTCTCTCTCCTCTCCTCTCTCTCTCTCTCCTCTCTCTCTCTCTCTCTCTCTCTCTCTCTCTCTCTCTCTCTGATAAATGGGGTGCCTGACCCCCACATGTTTTCCATTTGTAAGGAACACACCACAACCTCTTCAAGGGTGTTTGTCAAGATCCCACTGACAGGGCTTCTGTATGACAACCATAATGTATGTGTGAGAGTGTGTGTTTTAAGGTTCATGGGAAACTACCCCTCCCTGAATCTCTGTTGAGACTTTCTTTACGTTTATCTACACCTCCCTCTCTTACGCAGTCAATACTCAGCTACCTTAGGCAATCAGGGAAACACACACACACATAAACACACACACACACACACACACAGACACACACACACACACACACACACACACACACACACACACACACACACACACACACACACAGTACATAAACCGGGAGGCTTCTCATGACTACATTCTTACAATGTTTGTCTCCACATTCCTCAGTATGAAAGTCAAGTCCTCATTTATTTGTATATACAGTATATTGTATGAGAGAAGCAGGAATGTCCTGTACATCTCAGACTTCCCCCATTCCGACATTCTTCCCCGGCTCTCCTCTGCTGTCCGGCTTTTCCTGGACACGCTGATTTGGGGCCGCTGGACACGGCAACGTTCCAACATGGAACACCCCGGCAAAGCTCAGCCAGGAGGCATGTCACGCTAAAGAGACAAGGAGAGAAGAGAGAGTGAGAGATCAAGAAAGAGAGACAGAGAGAGAGAGAGAGAGAGAGAGAGAGAGAGAGAGAGAGAGGTATAGCGTTTTTTGAAAGCTGTAGTTTCTTGGAGAGACCACGCCAACCGTCCATATACTTTTTCTGTTTAAACAGAGTGTTCCAAAACGCAGGTAATTTTTTGAGAAAATGTTACTGGGGTCGAGAAACACAACTCCCCTCTCAAAATCAACATGGGCTCCTCTGTCCCCTGCCTGGGAAATGACTTAAGCGGGACCATCTGTGTGTGTGGATGTAGAATAATATGTGACTTATAGGGCCAGAAAAGCCCTACATGCAGTGAACCTGCTTTTCATTAGGGCATCGACAGAGGCTAGAGGTCTCTGTTTAGAGGGATTTGATGCATTTAGAGGTAGGGAGGTTTAAAGTGGTCATGTTGGGTTTGGATATGATATCTATTCAGTGAGATGATCTTGAGTCACAGCTATTATCTGTTTATTAGACACTTTTGTTGAACTTTCTTTCTTATCCAGATAAAGTTAGTGAGGGTTTGTTATCGGCTTGTTCTGTCTGAACCTCCTCTACAACGACACCCTTCGGCTCTTTTCCGTCCTTCGCTCGCCAAGAAATATTCCCCCAAATTCGATTATCGGGTGGCTAATCAACAACAGGTCAAAGCCTAGCCTGTTTCTCTGTCTGCAGCTTGTCTCCTGTGGTCCAGAGGTTTTTCTCTCTGTTTCCAAAGGTCTACTATGTTATCTGTGTTGGGAAATCTTTGGTGATAAGTCTTTATCTCATCCTATGCTTTTTGGAGCGGCGGCAGGAGGGAATTTCCAAATAAGTGGAGTAGAGGTTCTGAGACAAATTGGTTAATTCTTCCTCTGTGGAGCTATCTCTGCCTGTCTGGAAAGGCCTGGTGGAAGTGTTTTGATGTCAGTGGAGGGGAACTTCCTGTCTGAGTTAGGCTGTGTTGCTATGTGTTACGGGTGGGGGTTGGGCGTGAGGTATGGAATGATACATAACACAAAGCTTTGCCAAAGCCTCAGATATGAAACCAGGTGGTGTAGGCCTAAGTTCCAAAATCACTTAACCACCTATCTGAATGGAACGTCAAGAATGTCACTGTAACGTCAATAAAACTCATCCTCCCTTCCTCTCCCTCCCTCTCTCCAGGTGATGGGTCTGTTGAACCCAGGCGGGGTGCCCCACCAGCCCCAGAGTGACTACGCCCTCTCCCCCCTGACAGGAGGCCTGGAGCCCCCCGGGGGCATGGGGGCCAGCTGCTCCCAGCGTCTGGAGCACATCAAGGGTCTGGAGGGCCTGTCCAGTGTCCCCAACATCCCCAGTCTCCCCTCGCTGCCCAACTCCCAGTCCTACTGCCAGTCCTCCTACAGCGCTCCTGCCTACAGCGTGGACCCCGTGGCCTCCTACCAGTATGGGCAGTACCACGGACAAAGTAAGGTCAATATCGCTCACTTTTATTACCACTTAAACACTAGGAAGTTATCTCTCCAATCACATTAACTGTAGCCGCCTTGAGCTTTCACCGCTCTTAAGTCTACCGCACCGATACATTTACAAAGGACAAATGTGTTGATAGGACTCTAGCAGTGTTCACATGACGTGTTTCCATCCAATAAAAACAGCAGGGTTTCAGACAGGAAGAGTTGTTTGATCCTATCTCTGAAGTAACACTGAGTATATTGGATCATATCTGTCCTTTGGTATATTGTAGCTCACATCACCTCACCTCGCCTGTCAGCAATTCAGTTCATTCCTATCAAACAGTACTGATAGTGTAAGATAGGCTCTCCTGGAACGTTTCCTTATGGGAGGCTTGTTTAACAGTGAGGCGGCCCTTCAGTTCACATTAACATTACACTAAGGTTAACTCTGACATCAAACAAACGTTCATGTAACTCTCAAAAACTGACGTCATCCACATGCGTTCAGCCGTGATTAGAGCACCCTGCAGTTTTCAATTTTCCTCTGTGCACGGGTCACCCAATCAGGTCAGTCTCTCGACCTCGCAGCAACCTCGCCCTTCAAAGCAAAGGCAACCGTCCATGTAGCTGACTGCTACGGATTTAAAAAGGACTGCAGGTATCGAGTGAATATTTAACCTAATATCCGAGATAAATAAATGCCTAATGAAATATCTTTAAGAAATATGTAAGTGGACAGAAAAGACACACGCACACACACACACACACACACACACACACACACACACACACACACACACACACACACACACACACACACACACACACACACACACACACACACACACACACACACACACACACACACACACACACACACACACACACACACACACACACACACACACACACACTCACACAAACCCATCAGAGGCACTACATCTTGATGTCATTAATCACAGAGACTGGATACCCATGTGCGGTTAGGTCTGTAGAATGGGAAAAGGTATTTTCTGGGGGGTGTAAGGATCCTAATATCCTCTGGCAGGGCGGCAATTAGAAACAGGTGTGTGGTGTGGGCCTGCTGAGGTCAGCTGGGGAAGCAGTATTGAACTCTGTCCCAGATTCACTTGTATTGGGCCTCTAGTGTCAAGCCTAACCCAGCCTTAATGGGGCTGATATCAAGTCTGCCCACTTCCCCTCTCTAGACCACACACACACACACACACACACACACACACACACACACACACACACACACACACACACACACACACACACACACACACACACACACACACACACACTGCTGCTGCACTGTTAGACTGATCACCATGATAATGCTGCTCCCATGGTTCAAACCCTCTTTATCTCTGTCAGTGATCATCACCATCTTTATTTTTAAATTGAGGATAACTCATAACTCTTCTGTTTTTCCTTTTAGGTGCCCTTCATTATCTGAGACCTGAGATCACCTGAGGATCTGCCCCTCTAAGTGACACAACATTCCAACCATATACTGAGGAACAAACAAAACAAACAAACATGTAGAAAATAAACATGTCAATCAAAGAGGAAGCTTTGAGACATCATCATAAACAGAACTGTAATGTATACTACAGCTCTTCCGTTCCCTTCATTATGTTAAATGCTCAGTGTTTAAAAACATTCTGTTGAACTCTCACTGTGTTCCGTTGATAACGTTGATCTTTTGTAGCTTTAGAGGGATTCCTAGGGTTCAGGGGTGACTTTGGGGAAAGTCACAGGTGAAGGAGGAGGAGGAGGGAGGGGGGACTCAGGGGTTTTGATGGGCAACAGGGCTGATCCATCGAGGGGTGCAGTTCCCCCTCATAGAGGCCTATTAGGTCACGAGGCTCACGACCAAGAGACACATGAGAAAACAGGACCACCCTACCACAGACCAACCCAGCTGACCAGAAGTGCAATATCACGTACCTCCGAGTCAACAATGCCATCAAACAGATTAAACAAAAAATATATTGTGTCTTAAGAACATTCTGGATAAACATTCGAATCATGTTTGAGTAATTTTTTATTACATGTGCCTATGGAGGCTTCGAGGTCCAAAACAAAGAAACAACAACAACAACAACCACCAACATCGTCAGTACTGCTATGATAGCAAAGCCACAGGGAAAGGTGGGACGCACATTGTGAACCATTGAAGTCATTCCAAGCCCATGTGGAGCAGATTGATTCAAGGAAAAAAAAAGAAGTCAACAAAAAAAACGTATGAAGTATTACGAAGCCAAATAGTTGTTTACATTTTATTCTTTGCTTTTGTCTTTTGGTTTGTCTTGTTGCAAAAACAGAAAGATCAATAGTGTGGTGTTTACGTCATTTCCTTATTTATTCTCTCTAAAGTATCTAAACAATTCTGCAACATTATTCTTAAACTTTCTGCAATGTTTTAGTTAAGTTACTACATCACATATCTTATAGGAATACTGTGTCCGTCTGTTTACTAAATGGTAGCTGGATGTCTCAACAGATCCAAAGGTTGCTACAAGCACTCAGCGGTCAATTGTACATTTGTCTGTAACAGAAAGAAAAGTGTTTTTTCTTTCCAATGGTTTCTTTCATTTTTATATATTTTTTGTATTATTTGACAGAATGATATGATGCAATGTCTTGTGTACAAGCGCAGTATTATTACTATTTATAATAAAAAATACAATGACTAAAAATAGTTTTAATTTCGTTGAAAGTTACACTGTCATTTCAAGGTCATTTTCATCTCAATGCAATCTTTGTGTATGAAATGTTCGTCATCAGTGTGCAGTAAATAAATGACAGTGACTCATCGCAATATAAAATACAAAAGAATAGAGAGACAAGCATGTACTTTTCAAATAAACGAATTTAAACCCCTAAGCCCTATGTAAAAATAGAACCGTAAAGAGAGGTTCCTGACATGGAGTTGGACTTGAACACAACAGCCTTTCTTATAAATAGTACTCAAGACATTCAAACATCTGCACAACCTATTAAAGCCCACTGGCCCTTGATACTGTAACAAACACACTTCTGTTTCACAAATTCTAAATGAGAATAACCCTCAGAGCGTTTGGACAAACAGAACACCCTCCTCCCCCTCACTCTGCAACCTCGCCCCCCCTCTCAGGCCTTGGTCATACACACAGAGCCCCTCTGTCTGTGTGTGTGTGTGTGTGTGTGTGTGTGTATGTATGTGTGCCACCCTGAGGATATTAGCCCTAATTAAAACACTCGTCTGATTAATCGAGTCTCCTCTCAGCCCTTGGAGGGACCACACGCTTTATAAATAAAGATTATGGCAACAGAAATGCTGGCCCACATTGGATCAATCATACAGTTGCCATTTTTATTTAGTAATACAAAATAATTGGGCCAATATGAGGACACAAACATAAACTTCCACACACACACACACACACACACACACACACACACACACACACACACACACACACACACACACACACACACACACACACACACACACACACACACACACACACACACACACACACACACACACACACACACACACACACACACACACACACACACACACACACACACACACTGTTTGCTTTCCTAATCAGGCAGTACCATTAAAGATGAAGACAAATCGCTGTCGTTGTAAAAGTCCCAAGCAAATCTGCGACCACAGAAATGTGTTTCACTAATGTAACCTCCTCTTGAATTGAATACACCCCAGAGTCTACTTAGAACCAAAACTATTTTAATGGAGATAAAGATATACATGTATATATAACATTCTTATTTAGCCAGTTCATTGCACCATGGGTTGTCAGTAGTGAATATGGCCCTGTTAGTGGTTACCAGGGGCCTCTGTATCCCTTATTTACTTCACAGTCATTCACCCCCCCGGGTCATGTGAACTAACATGACCCAGAGATCACACTGGCAGCTGCCTCTGTCACTCCGACTTGATGTGTGTGTGTGCTTTTGCTTCTGAGTTTGTGTGTATCTACAACTACAGTATTAGTGTGTATCTTGGAGTGTATTCCTGAATTATACTATATTATACTATAACTATGTGTCACGCCCTGGCTCTGGGGACTCTTTAATGTTGAGCCAGGGTGTTAGTTTCTATGTTTAGTTTTCTAGGTTTATGTTCTAGATCGTGTGTTTTCTATGTTGGCCAGGGTGGTTCCCAATCAGAGGCAGCTGATTCTCATTGTCTCTGATTGGGATCCATACTTATGGCAGCCTGTTGGCACTTTTGTTTTGTGGGATCTTGATCCGTAAGGTTTGTGTTTAACCCTAGGACTTCACGTATCGTTTTGTTGTTTATATAAAGTACTCATTAAAAGATGTACGCCTATCACGCTGCGCCTTGGTCCGGTTCTTACAACGATCGTGACAGAAGATCCCACCTCGACTGGATCAAGCAGCGTGACGAGGAGAGAGGATGGACTTGGGAGGAGATGAGTGCGAGTCTGGCAAGAGGGATGGAGGCCTTGAGCACGGGGGAGAGACAAGCCCAATACATTTTTAGGGGGGGGGGCTCACACCGTGGACGGCGAGGCCGCGATAGAGCGGTTCGGCAGGTTTGCAGAGGAGGCCGCCAGGTTACGGGGGCCACTGGTCACGAGGGAGAAGGAGAGTGTAGAGGCACGGCGAGAGGTACTGGGGTGTGTTACCAGTCCGGTCCGGCCCGTTCCTGATCCCCGCACAAGGCCAGTGGTGTGTGTTCCCAGTACGGTCCGGCCTGTTCCTGTCCCTCGCACCAAGCCTGTGGTGCGCGTCGCCAGCCCGGTCCGGCCTGTTCCTGCTCCCCGCACCAAGCCTGTGGTGCGCGTCGCCAGCCCGGCCCGGCCCGTTCCTGCTCCCCGCACCAAGCCAGTGGTGCGCGTTGTCAGCCCGGTCCGGCCTGTTCCTGCTCCCCGCACCAAGCCAATGGTGCGCGTCGCCAGCCCGGTCCAGCCTGTTCCTGCTCCCCGCACCAAGCCAGTGGTGCGCGTCGTCAGCCCGGTCCGGCCCGTTCCTGCTCCCCGCACCAAGCCTGTGGTGCGAGTCGCCAGCCCGGTCCGGCCTGTTCCTGCTCCCCGCACCAAGCCAGTGGTGTGCGTCGCCAGCCCGGTTCGGCCTGTTCCTGCTCCCCGCACCAAGCCAGTGGTGCGCGTCGTCAGCCCGGTCCGGCCCGTTCCTGCTCCCCGCACCAAGCCAGTGGTGCGCGTCGTCAGCCCGGTCCGGCCTGTTCCCGCTCCCCGCACCAAGCCAGTGGTGTGCGTCGTCAGTCCGGCACGGTCCGTGCCTGTTCCACCTGTGCCTGGTCCGGCACCGGTCAGCTGCTCCACGCCGGAGCAGCTGACCAGCAGGGCCAGACCACGAGGGCGAAAGAGAGAGTGGTGGTCGCGCCCGGAGCCGGATCCGCCTCCGAGGCGGAATGCCCACCCGGCCCCTCCCCTGTGGTGTTTGGTTGGCGCGGTCGCAGTCCGCACCTTTGGGGGGTGGTACTGTCACGCCCTGGCTCTGGGGACTCTTTAATGTTGAGCCAGGGTGTTAGTTTCTATGTTTAGTTTTCTAGGTTTATGTTCTAGATCGTGTGTTTTCTATGTTGGCCAGGGTGGTTCCCAATCAGAGGCAGCTGATTCTCGTTGTCTCTGATTGGGAACCATACTTAGGCAGCCTGTTGGCACTTTTGTTTTGTGGGATCTTGATCTGTAAGGTTTGTGTTTAACCCTAGGACTTCATGTATCGTTTATTGTTTTGGTCATGTGTGTACTCATTAAAAGAATGTACGCTTATCACGCTGCGCCTTGGTCCGCTTATTATGACGATCGTGACACTATGTGTATAAATAAGTTCTGTATAATATCTCTGTTGGTCAGCGGATGTGTTTTGATTTTGTTTTTATGCCTCGGTCAGCAACCACCCTGTCCAGGCACTTAACCCCTGACCCGGCCAACAGGCAGACAGTCTCTCATCGGGGCCCATCCACTGGGCCTGACCTGGGCTCTCCTCGTTCCCCTCACGCGCTGAGGACAACTTAACCACACAACCCCCAGGATATTAGTGCACGGAAAAACAGATACAGTGAGGGAAAAAAGTATTTGATCCCCGGCTGATTGTGTACGTTTGCCCACTGACAAAGACATGATCAGTCTATAATTTTAATGGTAGGTTTATTTGAACATTGAGAGACAGGATTTTGTTCCACTCCTCTTTGCAGATCTTCTCCAAGTCATTAAGGTTTCGAGGCTGACGTTTCGCAAATCAAACCTTCAGCTCCCTCCACAGATTTTCTATTGGAATAAGGTCTGGAGACTGGCTAGGCCACTCCAGGACCTTAATGTGCTTCTTCTTGAGCCACTCCTTTGTTGCCTTGGCCGTGTGATTTGGGTCATTGTCATGCTGGAATACCCATCCACGACCCATTTTCAATGCCCTGGCTGAGGGAAGGAGGTTCTCACCCAAGATTTGACGGTACATGGCCCCGTCCATCGTCCCTTTGATGCGGTGAAGTTGTCCTGTCCCCTTAGCAGAAAAACACCCCCAAAGCATAATATTTCCACCTCCATGTTTGACGGTGGGGATGGTGTTCTTGGGGTCATAGGCAGCATTCCTCCTCCTTCAAACACGGCGAGTTGAGTTGGTGCCAAAAGCTCAATTTTGGTCTCATCTGACCACAACACTTTCACCCAGTTCTCCTCTGAATCATTCAGATGTTCATTGGCAAACTTCAGACAGCCCTGTATATGTGCTTTCTTGAGCAGGGGGACCTTGCGGGCGCTGCAGGATTTCAGTCCTTCACGGCGTAGTGTGTTACCAATTGTTTTCTTGGTGACTATGGTCCCAGCTGCCTTGAGATCATTGACAAGATCCTACCGTGTAGTTCTGGGCTGATTCCTCACCGTTCTCATGATCATTGCAACTCCACAAGGTGAGATCTTGCATGGAGCCCCAGGCCGAGGGAGATTGACAGTTATTTTGTGTTTCTTCCATTTGCGAATAATCACACCAACTGTTGTCACCTTCTCACCAAGCTGCTTGGCGATGGTCTTGTAGCCCATTCCAGCCTTGTGTAGGTCTACAATCTTGTCCCTGACATCCTTGGAGAGCTCTTTGGTCTTGGCCATGGTGGAGAG